CTTCAGCAAAGTCATCCAACCAAGGGAGAAACCCTTGTTGCATGCTTGCTTGAGTTGCTTTTCATAGGCCTCCATGACATCGGTCATGCCCTGGGCATACGCCTTCTCGTCGGCGTTCTTGATTTCAGCCTCTTTGGTGGCCAAGGCATCTTGAAGCTCTTTTTGGGCCTAGGCCACTTTGTCCTCGGTCTCCTTTAGCTGGGCTTGAAGGACTTTGTTTATCGCCTCAGCAGCACCAACCTTCTTCTCAGCTTCGTCTTTTGCTTTAATAGCGACCTCGGCCTGACCCTCTAGGGTCTTCATCTTGGGTTGCAAGTTTTTATTGGTTCTTTGAAGGCTGGAGACCTCCCTCTTCTTTTCGGCTAGCTTCTCACGATTCTCAAAAGATTGCATTGAGAAAGAGTGGGCATGCTGGATGGCCTAAAAGAAAACAGAGGTATTAGAAAATATTCTAAGTATGAAATGAAGAGAAAGAAATAAAAAGTACCAAGCAAAAACACTTACCTGAACAGAGTGCTGAAGCATCAGAGCGTAGTTCTCGTACTCGCTGAACTTGGCGTTTTGCTCCAGATAGCCTGGAAGAAGCAAAGCAGCACTAAGGGCAACGCCGACATTGATGTCATCAGTGCTATCACTAGCCATAACAGGCTTATCTTCCAGAGTGATTTCGGGGGTCCAAGGGGCATCAGGCTTTTTAGACCCCGAGGTCGTTGCAGAAGATGACCTCGGCCTTTTGGATTTGGTAGATTCGGATGGAAGTGTTTCAGCGGACCTCTTTGCAGGGACAGAGGCAGTTTTCTCACTCGGAGCCAGTTTGGAAATTGGCAAGGTATCCTCAGAATCGATCTGAGGCACCTTTGCCTTCGGCTGAGCCTTTTTGATTCGTTTTGGCTTTGGAGGAGGCTGGGTTTGTGTTGACTGAGCGTCAACGTCAGAGGGAATACTGGCTAAAAGATCTTTAGCAACCAGTTTTGGGCGGCCCATCTCAGCAGCAAGAACAAGTCGTCGACGACGTTTTCGTTGAGATGGTGGGATCAGGTATAGAGCCAAAGTAGACGGCTGTTCTGCTGTATCAGAAGTTGATCCTTGATCTAGCCGAGATGAGGTAGCAACTGAAGGAGTTGTGGCAGAGGGAGGAGATAAGTTCTTTTTCTTTTTCCTCTTAGGAACGTCAAGAAGAGCTGATTTATACGTCGGGATGAAATTTAGTACTAGTGGGGCCCTTCGCTTATGAACAGGAAGGTTCAATAGTTTCTTTAAACCCGGACTTGGGTAAAAAGACTTGCGGAAGTCTTTTCCTGGTTTTGGAAGAGCTGCAAGGAAAAACAAACATCAGCATATTTGAAGTATTAAAGATTTTGAAAGCAAGTAAATGTGAAATACAGGGCTCTTACCATTGCCCTCTACGAAAACTGTCCAAGGAAGAGGGTAGAGGTGGAGGTCCTCATCCGGAGCAAATTCTCAGTTCCCCGAAGTAATAAAGTAATCATCTCCAGCTCCCTTATTGGAGTCTGGGAGATTGGCAACGATTTTGTACTCCGTTGACCTCAACTTAAGGTAATAAACATAGCTCGTGTCCTTTTTTAGGCCACACATGGTATAACAATACTGGATATCGGCTAAAGTGACCCTAACGTTCTCTTGTTTTGCTAAGGCTATGATGCCATTAATAACTCGGTAGGAGTTGATGGCGAGCTGCATTGGGTTTAACTTGTAATAATGGATAATCTCGCAAAAAAGAATGTTGAGTGGGAGCCGAAGTCCACACTCGATGAAAGCTACGACAGGAAGAGGCATGGAATCAGCTATGGGCATAATAGAATCGTCCTTCCCAGCCAGCCTTAGATGGACATCGGCAGGGATTTCAAACTCTGTCCTAAAGTGATCTAATTAGGTTAGGGTATCTACCCTATGCTTCCACATACCCATAATGTCGGCCTGAATTAGAAGAGTTGGATTTCAGAAAGAAAAGGGGTTTTGAAGGGTTCTAGGGACCTCGGCTAAAGCTTAAAATCTATGGGGAATCGTTTCAATTTTCCCTAAGAAGACTGTCTTGAGTTCTACAAACAAGTCCCAAACCTAGATCTATAGAAGCAAAGGTCAAAGGCACGAATCTGGAAAAGACACAGAAAAACAGAAAACAAAAGCGCGTTTCAGAATCAAGAACAATGGGGAACTACCAAGAACACTGTGACAAAGTGTGTGAAAGGGCATAAAGGCAAGAACAGTGGCCAAAGTGCAAACAATATTGTGAACAGTGCGAGTATTTAAGACATGGGCAAAGGGCAAGGTTGTGAAATAGAAGCACACTCAGATATATGATTCACAGATCGAATGTTTAAGCAAAGCAGTAATAACGGCAAGTTCAAGAAGAAATTAAGAAACTGAAATAAGAAGGAATAGTGGCTTACCAAAAAAAATGAAGCCAGTGTGAGGATCGCCGAAACAGTGAAAAACCCGCCGGAAGGGATGAACGGAACAAGTTGCAGAGCAAGGAGAGCTTGAACAATGGAGGATTTGGAGAGAAAAACTAGAGAGAGAGAGCAACAGAGACAATGAAAAGTGAAAGGGCAAAAAACGGAAACAAATTTTGTTAAAAATTGGAAACGGCGGCAAAAAGGCCATCAATGCGCCTATGAGGATGGTTTTGTCAGGCGGCGCACGCAGGCACGAGACGGTTTTCAGGCGCATCGCAGGTACGATCCAATATAGGAAAGACGCGTGTCGTAAACAGTTGAATTATTGTATATGACAGCTCATACGTGTGAAAGGGTTCTTGAAATTATTGTTCTTTAACGAAGACATGTCAGCCAACATAATGATCTCGGCTGAGATACTGTAAACCGACGTACTGGAAGGAAGTACCTATATATAGGTTTCATCACCTCAAAATGCTGAGGTAATAGAACCTAGGGGGCAGTTGTGGGGATATATTTTCTGAGTACCAACACGTGGCTAAGGTGACGCCGACGTGTCTGCCGAGGTGCCACGTGTCCTGGTCATGACGCCGAGGTTATCTCGGCGAGGCTGAGGTTATCTCCGAAAATATCGGAATTCGAGAGAAGCGGCTAAGGCACAAGAGTCCTAGCATAGAAGAAGACTTCAGTTAGGAAAGGATAAGACTCTTAGAGAGTTTATCCCAATCCTACTGGGAGTCCAAGATTAGCAGTAATCCTAAGTCCATTAGAGCTAGGCTCCTATTGGGACTAGGATTGTGTTGGCTATAAAAGAAAAGCACCCCCATGGGTCTAAGGTACGTAATTTACATTTTGAATAGTGAGTTTAGCACTATTGATTATCTTTGAGAGATATACTGACTTAATCATCGGAGTATCCCCGGGTGGACGAACCACCACCGGAATATTCTCTTTCTGTTGCAGGTTAACCAGGTGTCATCTATTTTGCCAGTGTTCTCCAGCTGAATACTGAGTTGGGCAGTGTGATCGGAAAATCACTCACACAATAACAAAATATTTTTTCATCTTATCTAACTCGATTTTCTCTTTAGTTTCTCAATCTATTACATTTTTATTATCTTCAAATCTCTTTATTTAAATTTCATCTCTCCAAACAGAACCCCGATGTTTTATGTTGAAGACACAATGTTACAATGCTACACGCCCATGCAACATGAAAACATATAGGTGATGACCTTGACGTAAAGGTGTTTTGGCTGTCAATAATTAGAATGACATATTGTATTCTCAACTAGTTACACTTTTTGAGCTCATTGTCAATATGAAAAATGCGGCAGACCCCACCCCCAGTGACCTCCAATCCCATGTGGCTGTGAGTGCTTGAAAAAAAAAAAAAAAAAAAAAAAAAAAAAAAAAAAAAAAAAAACTGGAGGTGCTGGGGTGCCCCACTGGGGTCCCTAGCACAACTGTCGTCAATATTTAGCCTGTCTTTATTTTTAAAGTGTTTAGATTAAAAAATGTACTTTTGGGTTAGTCTCTCTGGACAAGCCTTTTTCATGCGAGTTTTTAATTAAAAAAGTTAAAAAAAATTTATAAGTTGTTAAATGGAGAATTACATGTAGGTGGAAGTTGTAAAAAAAATTACCAACATATGGAGAGATACAACCTTCACAGTCTTTCATTTGCACCTTACCACAGACACACTTACACCTGGTGTGTTTGTAATTTTTTTCCCAACTCTCATCTACATGTAATTTTCTCTTGTTATATCATTTTCTCTACTTTTTTATGTTTTTTTCTTAAAAAAATTAAAAAGTCAATTAAAATAATAAATTTCCAAATAAGTCCTAAGTTTTACTGGGAAATGTGGTACAAAATAGAAGGATTAAGGAGGTCTGGATAAAAGGTATAAAAGATCAAAGTATTTTCAAATTATGATTGTTGTACCATATAACTCATGTTCAGTGATTCGGGGAAAAAAAAAATATGGAATATGATAAGAGTCTACTAATTTCTCCTCCTAATTCAAGAATATTCAAATGTGGGATATGCTGCATAATCTTAAGTCATGCATGTTTGATTGGACTAAATTAGATGAGATTAATATTCCTTGGACAAATCATCTTAAGATTATCAATCTTTTTAGATTTTGTATCATATCCTTTGTTTTGAATAGATCAAAGATCATAAAGAAGGATTAATAAAATTCTATAAATTTTGATTACTTTTCCATTTTATATTATATTCCCCTCTTGAAATTCAATAGATTTTCATATGAAGGACATCATGTCCAAGTGGACCCACTATGTATTTTTGTTAAATTATTAATTCAACCCTAAATCCATGTCCCTCGAATAAGCATAACCTTAACGTTGTGTTTTGATTAAGAATTTGAAAATTGATTTGCAGAGAGAAAAGAAGTAGGAAAGCAAATGAAATATAAGCAAAATTTTTATCACATTTTCCTCATTATTTTCTTTTCCCTTTCCAAATATATTCTCCAATTTTAAATCCAAACACAACTTAAAAATTGATAATCTAGATACTACAAGCATTATATAATTCAATTCAATGAAACAAACATTAGGTTAACCTCGAAGCCATTATAGTAGTAATATTTATTCACGATCAGTATGTCATAACAAAGGATTCAAATTTAAACCTTACTAGCTTCAAACTAGTGTTTAAAAGGTGCAAATTAAGAAAAATTAGCCGCTTGTACGTATTACATACAACTTTGCTTGATCATCCAAGTCTCCAGCGAGTTTGTGGTTGTTTTTTCCTCCGGCAGCCAGTTTAGCAACTCCGGTGGTGGTGGCAATTGGCAGTTCTCCGACATCATCCTTGTCATCGGTCAATAGTGTGGGAGCAACATGATCCTTGCTTTTACCCCAAACGACCGCGTATAGGCCGACCGTGATGATGATGGCTCCAATTATGCTGAAAAATTGAGATGGTCAAACATTTAATTCAACAAATTAAAAATAAAATGCGACTCAGTGCATCAAACTCTTCTGCATAAAAAATAAATAAATAAAGTCAATGCTATAAAGAATTATATAGTCTATGCAGCAAATTTTGAACTGTCATCATCAATTTATAAATTAACAAATGCAAAATTGGATAATTAGCCATGAAATTAATTGTACAATTAGGAAAATTCACTAAATGTACCTTCCAAGGTGAAGTTTTTCGGCTAAAATGATAGAACCCAGTACTGCTACAATGATCATGCAAAGAGGGTTGAAAGCAGTAACGAACACCGGTCCTCTTGTCTTCATCACAAGCCCTTGAACGTAATATGTGATTCCGGAGCTAATCACTCCCTAAATAATTCAAAATCCAGGTTAATTGAGTTGGAAATTTTGATACGCTTTGGGTATATAAAATCATGTTTTGTATAATAGTTTTGGATAATTTTCTCTGTTTTCATGTGGTGATAATTTTAATTAACATCTTGCATAAAAAAAAAAAAAAATCATAATATTAAGCAAAATGTTTCCCTTTCTTCCAACATTCTCTTTTATTTTATTTTTTTCACAAATTCAAAATCCAAACACAAGTTTAATGATATAATCATGTATAATCTCAAATAATCAGACAGTTACAACATTTTACATCAGATTATACAAAATCATATATATATATATATATTTGTTTGATAGTGGTTGTTAAGCTTTTTTTTATTAATATTTATTTTATTGCTAATTTTGTCACTAGTATTTTTTCTAATATAAATATGATCATTTAATAAAAAAAAATTTATTTAACCATTTCTAGTCCAGAAACTGTTAAAAAGTATAAAAAATAAAGAAGAAGAAGAAGAATCCACTAAATAACAAAAATATATTTTATTGACAAAACCAAGAAAATCATCTTTTGTTTTTCATGATTTATTTTTAAAATTCGATCCATTTTTAAATAAATTCTTAGAGTTTCTAGTTTTGAAGCATCTTTAAAAAAAATTAAAAAATTAAAAAAAACGAAATTTTTTTATTATTTTTTTTAAAATTTAAATACTAACCGAATAAACAGGAGCAAGGAGCCTAGAGTCCCAGCCAACTGCCCAAACACCGGGATGACGTTCTGCCACGAGGGTCAACGCCGCGCTCAGTACTGTGCCCATCAGACATATCCAAAACGCCAAAGACAGCTCTGCTGGGTATTTATTCACTGTTATCGACTGCACAGTGAATGTGGTGAGGACGCAAAGTTAAAATCCAACAACAACCACATTAAAAATTGAAAAAAAAAAATAAAAAAAAAATTATGAACTTAAACACATTAAAACATAAAATTGAAAAAGAATGAAAACTTACTTGCAAAATGAAGAAACAAGACCAAGCAACACAGCCAACAAGGAGACAGAGAGTACCAGAGAGCCAGTGTTTATCAGAGGAGTCATTGGAGAGTGCAATATGGCTGGTTTTGGGGGACCAAAAAAGATTGATGATGGGGCCTTTGTACAATGTCATTGCTAGTGCTCCTCCAAATGTTACTATGGTTCCTAATACCTTTGCTTGACTTCTCACTTCTTTGATCTTTACTCTCTCTAATCTGTTAATTACCATAATATGTAAGTACTTCCAATGCAACCAAAAAAAAAAAATGAGTCCTTTAGATTCCACATTCCCATTTGCAATAAATCTCAATAACACATAATGTAAAGATATAAATAATTAAATAATTGTGTTACACAACTTTTTAAAACAAATTAACAAATTTGGGTGATTAACATTTAATGGATACCGGAGAATAACGGCGATGAGAAAGGTAACAGCAGGAACGGCGTTCATAATGGCAGTAGTATAGGATGCTGACGTCAAGTTCATCCCCAAGAATGATAAATTCTGATCAAGTAGTGGCCTGTCATAAATATACATAAAATTTCATCATACATGCACAAAAATTGTATCAATTTTCCTTTCTAATTTTACATATTGTGTTAATTTAATTCTATTGGCAACATTTATTAAGAAAAAAAAAAAAACTCAAATTGATCTATTTAAAATGGAATAGATAATTATAAATTAAATATCAACTCCTTAATCATTCTAAAGAGACTGAATGCACTATTTTATTTTTTAATTTCAAGCCCATTTCTAAAAGGTTCTATCAATTTAGTTGAATTGATATAATACCAAAAATTTAAAAGTAAAATTGATAAAATTAGAATTATATAGAGCAAATTGATATAAAAGACAAACTAGAGTTCATCATTTCTGCCGTTAATAAAATACTTTTCTTTCAACATGCTTGTACAAAATCTGGAATGAAGTGACAGTATCCTTTTTGCAAATAGAGGACATCATAAAATTTTTTATTTTAAAATAATAAACTCACAACTCAACATATAATTCTACATTTTTTTTATATACATTTTCTATTTATCTATTGTTCTTCAGACATTTATCAACTCTTATTTTTAGACCTCATATCATGTCCCTGTTGGTCATATGACATGATTAAGACTAGTTTTCACCAAAATGACCTCAATTAGCCTAATATGGAACACACACACACTCACACAAAATTAGTATCCCATTTGGCTGATTAGTTCAATATCAATCAAAAGATGTGAATTATATATATACACTCTCCGTCCTAAAACATTAATCTCTTATTTTATTTTTTATTGTCTCAAAATGTTAGTCCATTTTCAAAAATCAATTATTAAAATACTATGAATTTTCTATTTTGCTATTCTTTTAACAATATAAAAAGTATAATTATAACAATTGACATTTCCAAAAAAATGTACTATCAAAGAGTAATTTTAAAAAATTAATATTTTAAAAGTGTAATAATTGTACTATAAAAAAAAGTTAAATTCTTTAAAAGAGACTATTATTTTGAGACGGAGAGTAGGCTACATAGAGCATTACTCTAGAATAGCGAGGACCATTATCTTCCAGAAGATTGAAATTGTCATCTTTGGCCTTATTTTCCTGCAAAAAAAAAAAAAAAAAAAAAATGAAACGTTTTCCAATTTTTAATGACAATATTATTATTATTATTATTATTATTATTATTATTATTATTATTATTATTTAACTTGACTTCATTGAAGAAGAAAAAAAATGTTAAGAAAATTCAGCATTTGTGTTCTCATAACTCACTTTTGAATGACTACAACAATTTGCATGCATATAAATAAAAGGTAAATTCTTCTTCAACCACCTGATTGTACACAGTTCCCTCGGTATAGAATGGAACCCACACATTTGGTGAGATCCATCCTTTGCTAAGAACTGTGTTCGGTTGTGTGATTAGAGTTAGAAAAATTCACGAAAAGGGAGGGAGGGGGACCTTTCAAAAAAGAAGGCAAAAGGAGCGAGGGTGATAGCAGCGAAGGCATTGCGGTAGACAATGAGTACGTAACGGCTCATTCCTTGTTTCAGTGTTGCGTCAGTAATGATGAACATCCCAGCTGCCCCACACTGCAATCCTACCATCATCACATATGGTTTTCCCTTTTTCCACACTCCCTCTAACCTCTTCCCACATGTTGTCTCTGTTTCCTCACCCATTTCTGTCTCTCTCTCTCTCTGCTTACTTGTTTCCAGTGAAAGACCAATGAGCAATATGGCCTACTTATATACACAAGAAAAACAAGAATCTAAGATTTAAAACTCCTTTCATGATATTTGAATCAGCAGCGTCCCCCATTGGAAAACACTAAAATCTGTGGTTATTTCAGGAAATGCTTACCTCGTCATCAGTTTTTTCACTTTTCATGATTTTGATTCTTTTATTCAGTTTATTTCAGTGGAAATTTTTTTCTTAGATGTGGAGATTGGAGGGCGCTATTCGGATTTAGTGAGGTTTGTTGTGGATTTTGTTTTAATTATTCAAATCATTTATTTTATCTAGCACTTCGTATATATCATTTACAAAAAATTAACCCGATATTTGTAACATTTAATTTATTGTTTTTGTCACAAAAAAAAGAGATAATAATTGTATTTTTAAAAATAAACAATTAATTTGTTTTTATAATAAACGTGATAAATTGAATAGGTTACGATTATCAAATCGATTAAATTTTGTGTATGGATAATATAAGCAAAGTATCCGGCAAAAAAAAAAAATAGTTCGAATTATCGAAACGGACGTGACGGATCCAGACAACGTCCTCCAGTGGTAATCTACCTCTTTTTCTTTTTAGAGAAATTGTTTTGTACCAATTACTTATTTGAGAAAACATTTCTTTTTGTCAAACGTGAATTTTTTTTTTTATTGACCTTCATTTTTTCGTTATACCAAAGACAAAAAAATGTAGAAAATATTTTTTATAGAATCAAACACAAAAGTTTGTTTAAAAAAGAAAATTTCAAATTGTAATTTTAGAAACTCCACTAAACAAACCAAACAAACCCAAAGTTTGTCTAAAAAAGAAAATTTCAAATTGTAATTTTAGAAACTCCACTAAACAAACCAAACAACCCAAAGTTTGTTTAAAAAAGAAATTTTCAAATTGTAATTTTAGAAACTCAACTAATGGCGCACATTGGGGGCGTTTGTTTAGGCTTTTTTTAATCAATTTATGACTTTTGACTTTTAAAAAGTTATTTTGGACTATTTAGTTAAACTTATTTTAAACAAATTTTTTATTCTAACAACTTATTTTAAGTCAAAAAAGTTGATTCTGAGAAGCTATTTAGCCCTTACTTTTGATTATTAGCTTCTGTTGTGGACATGTTAATTTATGGTTATACTTTTAGATTTTTTTATTTTTTATTTTTTAAAAAATAGAAATAGATCTAAATGGACTATAGAATATTATTATTATTTTTTATGAAAAATGTAGATAAATGGTGAATAATAAAAAATAAAAATTAATTGAAAAAGTTACTTCACAGCTTACTTAACAAACACTACTCAGCAACTTAAATCTATAATCTAACAGTTACACCAAACAGATTAACAGTTTTTTTATTAAAATCATAATTTATAATCTATTAAATTATAATCTGTAATCTGTTTTAACAGTTACACCAAACGAGACTTTATTATTTTGTATGAGGTTTTTAAAATAAAAAATCTATTTATATATAGTTTTCATCATTTATTGTATTAGAATCAAGTTGCTAGATTCTGTGTTCTATTGGATTAACTGAAAAAAAGCTAGTTGACTTGAGCCAAACTCACACGTCAAATTCCCACCTACTCAATTGTCAAGAACAATATCCTTCACACTCACATGGAACTCACTTCCATGAAAACACCGTTGAAAAGATGTGTACCTTTAAAAAAAGTTAAAGAAAATAGAAGTCTAAAGAAAAGCAGCACCATTTCGTAGCTCTAAGGATCGAGGCTCGAGTTAGCCCGGCTTCTTTCTACACCCACCTCTATTTCTTTGTACAGATCAACTGTGTTAGAATACAAAATTCAGACATTTCAGTTGAAATAAAAAAAGAAAAGAAAAGAGAACATAGTAGAGAGGCTTAGAGAGAGGAGACCCATTAGCGCCGACGATGCTGTGTGTGCAAAAGGGTGCCGCCGACGAGGTTGCTACTGTTTCTACTAGTACCGACGGGTGCTGCCGCTACTACTGTGTATGCGAAAGAGTGCTGCCGCTGCTATTGTGTACACTGAAAGGTGTCGTTGATGCTCCTTGATTCATGCTGCTTATGATATTTTTATGTTGCTTATGATTCATGCTACTTCTGATTCATGCTCCTTGACTCATTAGTTGGCTTTGTTTTTTATTTAGGATTTTGCATTGGGTGATTAATGATTGATAGCAAAAATAGATCACAAGCCCCAAAAATATGTTCTTTGAATATATTCTGGGCATTGGGTGAATATATATGTTTGATAAATATATATGTTCTGGGCATTGAATATTGAATATATTCTGGGCATTGAATATGTTCTTTGAATGTATATGTTTCTAAGCATTGGGTGAATATGTTATGCAAAAATCTGCTCTCTGTGTGGAAATATTTGACAAATAAAAATAAATGTTCTTTGAATATATTCTGGCCATTGGGTGAATATATATGCTTGACAAATATATATGTTCTGGGCATTGAATATTGAATATATTCTGGACATTGAATATGTTGTTTGAATGTATATGTTTCTAAGCATTGGGTGAATATGTTATGCAATATCATACATAATTCCTTAATCATGTTTTTGTAATATGACTTTGTAGACGTCCCCGAATGCCCCGGGAGGGTGAGTCCCGTTCCGTTCATTTGGGGTCACTACATCTCAGGACTCTTAAATTGTCACGGTTCTAAATCTGAACCAAAGAGTCCAAATCCAGCAAATCGTTTTGAGAAAACAGATTTTTAGAAAAGAAGTGCCAAACATGGACTGCTTTTCCAGATACAGAGTCGCCACCTAAATATTTTATTTTGGGGAAATTTAGGAAACCCTGACTCGTTTGCCTAAGGCCACGTGTCCGTCATCACCAAAGTTGCCTCGGCTCGGGAACTTGGGTACGATTGGGGAAGGTCACTTCGTGAGCCCCCCGCTCGCCCGATCCGAAGATCGACCTCTACTAACCATGATATCTAGTTTTGAAAACATTATGCCTTCTTATTCCAGTTATTAGCCTAGATTTACTACGTGATGCGCACAACATACAAGTATAGACTGGGTCGCCTGAATTGGAACAAAACATTTCATGTTTGTTTATTTGAAAATGGTTTGATGGGGCTACCCGCAAGTAGGCTAAGACGTGGATTTGCCACCCTCAGGTGGGCTTAGAAAACATGATTTTGCCACTATCTAGTGGGCTTAAAACACACATTTTGATGAATTGTTCCAATCCAAATAACCCAACCTTCACCCAAGGCATTCAGAGCAGTTATATCACATAGCATATACCTCATGGTAAGCATGCTATTCATGGCACACTCACACGCATGCAAGGATGCTAAAGCATAAAACTCACCGAGTACTCCAAGCCAAAAACAGAAGCTAATTAGAAATCCATCATGATCCTAATTATACAGAAATGCCTAATGCAACACATGCAAAATACAACTATAGAGGCTCGGCTATTCTAAACATGGCATATGAGATGCACACACTAACAAGTATTTAACTTTGAAATTGAAATACAATGCAGTTAGTATGATGCGCCGAGCCCGGTGTGCAAACAGATGAATGATGCAAACATGCTGTCATACTGTATGCTAATTTAAACATGCCCTAATCTAACCATCATAAGCAGGTAAATAAAAGGGAGAAAGACGTGGGGTTGGAAGACATACAACACACACACGCACACTTATTACAGTTGTGCCCTCTCGCAGAGGGTCTGAATAAATATACAGTCTTGAATAAATAATTACAGTCCAAATATTACAGTCCAAATAATATACAAATTCGTAATTAATTAACGAATTAAATAAGAAAACTGTAAAACTGGCGTGCAAGCCAGGGACAGCCTTGCTCCTGATGGATGATGCATGTTTGGGCTGCCTTGCGCGGAAATCCACTAGGATGCTCCAATTAGCCTCTGTTTTGCAATTATTCTTGGAAAGCGCGCCAAGCTCTAGAAGATTGCTAATTCTTGATTTGCTGCAACAGAGAGCAGGAAAGGGGCATAGCAATGTATTTTCACAAATGTATGCATGCCTCGATCCTCGTGCCACCAATCACGCATATCGATGCATGATGGCCGAGGAGTCGATTCGCATTACTCAATATAGAATGAATGCACATGAAAACTCAACTAAAACCTAACTCCATCATGGATAATCCGAAGTGTCGGTGACGGGGAATTGAGACACATTCCGTCACTCGGAGTACGAAACGTCCCTCGTTTCCCGTGCTCGGGCTAACTCATATCCCAAGCATGATGCAATATGCATGATATGCATTAAATGCAACTAATATACAACCTAGCATGCACAATGCTACGAAATGGCATACACGATGCACGAGATAACGTGGCATACACAATGCGCTAACATACGACCTAGCATACACAATGCTATGAAATGAAATGGCATACACAATGCACAATGGACTTACACTAACATGAGTGGACCTCAGCCGCACTCACATAAGAGGCCATCAGATGAAAATGAGATAACTCGAGATACGCGCACGCAAGCACGCAAACCGAGGACCGAACCTAAGGCACCAAATGCCACTCTAACAAGACATGGCAAGGCATGAAATATGATATGCTAGCATGCAAATTTCAGAACTGAAATGCGACAAAAAACAGCCCCGAATCATGACAATATAGCACCCGATGCATGAAATGGTCCCGAAATGCAAGATTAAGCGCATGAAATGACTTGTAGCTACATCAAACATGCATTATTTGATCATGAGATATGAAGACAGATTCAAGGCAGCCCCAAAATAAGCATGTTTACAGTTCTAAGCAAGGCCAAACAGCAAACACAAATAGGGAAAAACTAGCATGCAAAAAATGGCCCTAAATGTGAGATAAAGAAGCAAGTCACAGTTGCAGACCTCAAAAAGATAAGGGCCCTTCAACAATGTTGAAGAGGGACCCAAAATATGATATTCTACAGTTTACAACAAACCCCAAAAACCAACACAGGTATGGCTAAGCTCTCATGCAAGAAATGGGCCAAAAGAGGGTCAAAGAAGCAAATGGTGATTTATGGCCTCAAACACAAAGGGGCCCTTCAACAATGTTGAAGAGGGGCCCAAAGTATTTTACTTTACAGTTGGTGGCCAGACCCAAAACAGCATATATACAAGCCAAAAATACTATGCAATATATGGCCAAAATGAGAGATATAACACAAAGTATAAAAAGGATACCTCAAACAGTGAAAGACCCTCAATGAAACATGAATAGGGGGTCAAAATAAGGCTGTTTTCAGTTCGGACCAAAGTCCAAAACAGAAGCACAAGAGGCTAATAAATCATGCAAAAAAGGAGCCAAAAAAGGGATATAAAGGCAAGTGGAAGATAGGAGCCTCAAATAGTGATGAGCCCTTCAACAATATTGAAGAAGGGCTCAAAATAAGCCTCTTTAGAGTTTATGGCATTCCTCAAAACAATTTATACGTAGGCCAAAAATACTACGCAAGAAAATGGCATACAAGAGGGATAATGAAGCAAGTGCAA